CTTCCCTGAGAGAGCTTCAGGATTGGATCAGTTCCACATCGACGCAGGGTCAGGTTCACCGTAGCATCAAGGACGACGAGCCTGAGCCAGACGAGTTCGACGGTGGGGTAGCTGGAGCTCTGGCCCATCCGATCGACATTGCACACAAGAAAGTGGATATGTGGCAGGCCAAGTGGAGAGGGTCAGCCGCGCACGACGACATCATGAGCACCTTCGCGGACGTCAGGGCACTCGCGGAGTTCGAGTCCCTGGAGCCGCTCACTGTGCGCGAGCTGCGGGATGCGCTGCGGGGCACGAAGGCCCGCGCGGGCCTAGGCGCGGGCCGCTTGTCGCCCACCGACTTCGAGCGTTTGCCTCCAGAGGGGCTTCAGGAGATGTGTGACCGCTTCACCATGATCGAGGAGGGCCTGTCGCGGCCATGGCAGGTCATGTGCATGCTCGGGAGGCTCCTTGCCAAACGGTCGGGCGGAGATCGCGTCATCGGTCTCTTGCCGATGTTGTGCCGTGCCTGTTCCATGGCGCGCGAGGTGCAGATGAAGGAGTGGTCGTCGTTGCAGGACGATGGCTGGGACGCGGCTGTGGCCGGCAACAGCGCCTTGACAGAAGCGTTCGTTAGAGCGCTGCAAGACGAGTCTCAGACAAGGCTCAGCATCGCGCACGGCCACGGCCTGCTAGACGCAGAGGCCTTCTACGACGGCATCGAGTGGGGGCCGCTGGCCCGTTGCGCAGCGCGCGAAGGGTCTCCCCCAGTCATCCTCTTTCTGGAGATGCAGCTGTGCCTCATCCCGAGGGCGCTGCAGCAGCTCGACTCTGTGTCCGAGCCATTCCAGGTCACGTGCTCCATCGTGCAGGGGCTGAGGAACGGCGCGAGGTTCGCCAAGTGCCTCACGGCTGTCGTGTGTAAGAAGTTGTGCGTCATGCATCCGTCGATGTCGGAGCGTATCTGGATCGACGACCTCTCGCAGCGGGTGGCAGGATCGCGGCAACACGTCCGCGCCACGCTCATCAAAGGGATCATGTCCACGGTTCGGGAGTTCAAGAAGCTCGACCTAGGGATGCCGCCCAAGAGCACGGTCACCTGCGCGCAACACTGTGACGCAGTGGCAGTTGTCAAGGTTCTTCGGGGGCGAGGCGCGTCGCTGTCGGCGGTGCCCCAGTCAGCGTACTTGGGCGTGGACTTGAGCGCGGGGCGCCGTCAAGGCAGGGCCACGGTGCGCAAGCGCGCCACCAAGTCCGCTAAGTCTCATGACAGGCTCCGCCGCTTTGCCCATGCGGCGAGGCGGTGGCGCGCCACTGCCAAGCTGCAGCGGGCGGGGCCCCAGGCGTCGGCGGTGCATGGCCACCAGGCATACGGGGCGTTTGGGGCCAACGTGCAGCTACTGCGGCGGCGTTTGGGGGCGGTCGCGGGTTCCTCTAAGAGATGGCGCTGCCTGTCCACGCTCTTGGCGCTACGCCTGCCAGGCGCGGGCCCAGGGGCTTTGCTTCCTCGGCAGTGCGTGGCCCTTTGGCTTTCCGTGTGGTTGGAGGGGCCGCAGCTCAGGCCGTCCATCAGTCTTGCGTGGCCAGCGACGGCCAAGCACCGGATGAGCAAGCCCGAGCAGCGGAGTCGGCATGTTCGTGGGCCGCTACCCACAGTCATACTGTACCTGCTGGAGGCAGGGTGGTCTCCAGTCTCGCCAGTGGAGTGGGATGTGCCGAATGAAGGTGCTCAAGCTGGTTTCTCTGGGAGATTCGGAGATGCCGAGTTTACGAGCCTTGACCAGGCGGCCCCATTACTAGACGAGCTGCAGCACACCATGGAGCTCAAGCAGTGGCGTCAGGCCGCAGAGATGTATTGTGGTGAGGGGCTTGCTGATGGAGTCGACATGCAGTCTTACAGGAAGTTCGTGAACGATCTCACCCATGCCAAGCGAGGCCGCCAGTTATCAGAGTTGATAGTTTCCATCGCCACTGGAGGCGTTTGGACGAGAGGTCGGAGTTTCGATGCTAATGTATGCGCGGGTGATGTATGCGAACGGTGCAAAGATGGCCGCGAGACGGCATTGCATCGGCGTTGGACGCGTGCCAAAAAGCGTCAGCTCACCCGCATATGATCAGTCTGCGTCAATACTCCTTGAGGCTGTCGCCAACTCTGAGGCCTATCCGTGCTTTTGGATGAGAGGCCTCATCCCTGCTCCTTGGACTTCCGTCTCCCCTCCTCCTTCCTCCGAGTCTTGGGGCGGCGGGGGCCTTTTTAAACGGTGGCCTCGTCGGGCCTTCCTGCTTGGGTGAAGGAAGTCCCTGGCGAGCCCCCGATTGTCTTCGGAGATGTTTCAGGAGGCGCTAACGCCCGCGATCCTAGGATGCGTAGGGTAGGGATCGCCATTGCCTGTTTTAGTTCTTTTGACCCCCTCGCCCTAGGGCCCCATCTTCTCGGGCCCCTGGTGGGGGCCAGCCAAGCGGTGCCCCGCGGGGAGCTTCAAGCTTTCGCCTGGGCTGTGCAGTTCTCAGCAGGCGCTCTCTTGCACGTCGCTGACTGTGCTGAAGTGGCCCGAGGCTGGTGCGGGGGCCAGCTCCGATGCCTCTCAGGGCCTCAAGCTGATTTGTGGAGGTCCATTGCCAAGACGCTTTCTAAGCAGCGACGGGGCCCTTCAGACGTCGCAGTTATCCAAGTGCCATCGCATCTCGATGGCAAAGAGGTCGCCGAGCGCCAGTGGCCGAGCTGGCTCATTGGAGGAAGCTGTGTGGTAGATGAGCTTGCGAAGGAGGCTGCCCGTCGAGCTAGAGTGCCCTTGGCCGATCGTACCAGGATCGCCCATATTGAGTACAAGGCTCGGCTGGTCAGGAACCGGTTGTTGCGAGCAGGCCTCGACGCCATCGTCGCTGCTCAGGCCAGCCGCGACCGCGAGGAGGCACGCCCTGTGCAGCGCATTCCTCCTCCGCCCCCCATAGCTGTTGCACGCTTCGCGTCCGCGCACGTCCTGACCTTAAGTGGAGGATCGTGCAGCGTGTGTAAAGGCTCTGCTATTAAGGCGTGTAGGTCCGACTGGTTAAAAAGTGAGTGCTTCCAGCTCCGATCCGTGGATGGCATGTTGTCCCGCCTGCCCCCAGGACGTAGGTTGCACCGCGCAGGAGGCTGGGTCGACCCCTCGCACGGCCTAATTTACCACCACATTTTGAAGATTTGGTACTGCGGCACATGCGGTTAGTTCGGTCAGTCCCAGCTCAGGGGATTAGGCAAGCCGTGCAGTCTTCCAGTCTCCAAGACCCGACGAGAATATCTCGATCGGTTGAGCAGGGATTTACATCCCAAAGCAGGCAGCTGAGCTCAGCCTTTTCATCCCTACGGGATGGCGGAAATCCTGGAGGAGATCCTCCTCCTCCTCCTCCTCCTCCTCCTCCTCCTCCTCCTCTTCCTCCTCCTCCTCCTCCTCCTCATCCTCCCCCCCCCTCCCTCCCCCCCCCCCCCCCCCCCTCCATCCTCCCCCTCCCCCCGCCGTCCACGCCCGGATGGTCATGGCGGCCGGCTGTTGCGCGGCCCGGCCCTGTGAGGTCATGGAGGGCTCGGGCGGCCAGTCGCGCTCGCGCTGTCTGCTGTTTCCGGCTTTTTGCGCTTCGACGGGTCGCGCGAGGCCGCGACGCTCAAGAAAATGTGTCGGGCGCGGTTGAGGGCGTTAGCTGCTTGGCGTTGGCAGCCCTAGACATGGAATGGGATCTCGCCGGAAGTCACGGTCGGGAGCATTTCGGCCATGCTGATCAGCGTCTCATCACAGGCCGATGTTTGATGGTTCGGGTGTCCGAAAGGGATCCCAGGAGGTCGAACATGGCGAACGATTGGCTACAAGCGCAACCCAAAAGCGAAGACATGTATAATCGAATCGGTCAACGATCGACCCAGGATCGATGACATCCGCATGTTTTCGCAGTCTCGGCGGGTTTCCGGCGGGTCTTGGCGGGTGTTGGGCAGTTGTGGGGCCTCTTGGGGGCTTCGTGGAAAGGCCCTCTGGTGCTGTCATGGTCGGGTTGGCCGCCTGGGGGCCCATGGGGCGGCTGGAGTACAGAAGGCCGCTCGTGGACGCTCGCTCTTCGGAGGGCTCTGATCGATCTCGGTTCCTGAAGGCCCTCTGCGGGTTCCCAGACCGTCGAGTATCGAGTGGCCTGCGGCCCATCCCGCCGCCATGCCTGGGTCGTGGGTCAAGGTCCTCCAGGCCCAGAGTGGGGAGGTGACTTGTGGGGCTTTTTGGGAGCCTCTTGGGGCCTCTTGGGGGCCTCGTGGGGGCCTTTGGAGCTTCGTGGAATCCGCTTGGAAGCCTCCTGGGGCCTCCTTGGGGCCTCTTGAAGCCGAGGGTTCGACATGTCCGTTCGGGCCCCCCGTCGGGGCCCCCTCTTGGAGCTGTTTTGAGGGCGCGTTGGGCCGTCTTGGAGGCCTCTTGGGCAGTTTTCGAAGCGTATTGGGCCGTTTGGGGGCCCTTTTGGAAGCCTCTTGGGATGTCTTGGGGCGCTTGGGAGGCCTCCTTGGCCCGACTTTGAGCGAAGGCGAGAATGACAAGGCCAGATTAACATGAGTTCTTGGGGGGCATCATGCCGGACTCCTGGGGCGTCTGTTGGGCATCTTGAACCGCCTGGAAGCAATCTGGGGCGACGGTCTTTCGGCGATTCGGGGCCCTCTGGAACCGTCTTGGTGGCCTCCTGCTGCCCTCTTGGCACGTTTGGGGGCCCTCTACCCCCCATGACGTGTTCATCCTGGGGCCGTGCCGGGCCAGGAGGGGGGGTCGAGTCTCCCGTCTGGGATTCCCGCGGGGCGACTGTGGGGGAGGCAGCTTCTTACAGTTAAGTCGAGCCTGTCCCCCTACAGGGGGATTTTCTACGAAACATAAAAGATACCCCCCAAACGGTCGAACACTATTGACCATCCTGGGGTATTTGGGGGGGTATTTTTTAGTTTTCGTCGAACACCCCCCTTGAAGTGGGGACGCGCCCGACTTACTCCCACGCGCTTGCCGCACGGGGTTGGCGGACAGCACACCTGGATCGCCTCAGAAAGCTGTTCGGCGCCCGCGAGGTGGACGTGTTCCACGACGACTCCAGGTGTGACGGCCGCGCACGGCGAGCCCCAGGGCGGCTCGGCGGCGACGCCGAGGCGGACCTGCCCCTCGAAGTCGTCGGCGCTGAGCCGACAGCTGCCCGCCGCGACCGTCGAGCCTGCGCTCCCTGGTTCGAGCGGGTGCACCGCGTGCTCGCGGCAGCAGTGGAGCGCGGCGAGCGGTTCGACAGGGTGGTGGCTCTGCGGCCCGACATCGTCCTGCACCCGGTCGTGGGCGGCGCTGCTGGCAACCCTGGAAGGGGACCGCGTCCGTTGCCGCCTCCGCTGAAGGTCGGGCCGGACGAGAGGGGGGGATTGGGAAAGGGGGGGTTACGAAATTTGCTGCATGCAGCTGGTTTCGGCCTCCCCGATGGGCCCATTCCTCGATACATAGCCGCCTCTGGCGCCGGGAGGCGCCGGGAAAATCAGCTACGTGAGCTGATTCTCACCCCCCCCCCCTTTGCTATCCCCCCCGTTCGCCCGACCCGAGAAGGCCCCGCAAATGCTACTCGACGAGATGTGCGCGAAGAAGCCGGGCTTCAGTTTTGTGACGCCGTCGTGGCGGCTGAAGCACAGGTCGTTTTTGCACGACCGCGACCTGGATTTCATGCACGTGCTGTGCCCAGGCACAGAGCTCCCAGCCTACGAAGAGGCTATGCGTACGCCACTCGATCAGTGCCCTCACGGCCCGCCTCCTCCGCTACCGCCCGGCTTCATCTCGAGGAAAAGTTGGGGTCGCAACGCGGCGTTCTGCCAATTCGTGCAAGTCTTAAATGACAGCAACATCGTTATCTCCCACTGGGACGACCTCTATACCATCGATTGGACAACTTTGTTTCCCGATATTTGAGAGGAGTTGTTTTCGCAAGACACGTGCGAATACTCTGACGGTGGTCTAGTTATCCTTTTGGTTTTCACGCTCGCATTGATTGCGGTTACTTCTGAAGAACAGAGGGAACGAGAAAATAAGTGCCACTCATTTCCGCTGGTTGCCCCGATGATTCCCGTTGGATGCCTCTATATGTAATTCAATGGATCAGCACGTTGCCCTGTCTGCGAGTTGCACGCTCTACAAGGAAGAGGGCGCGGGTCAATACATGTCACCTGTGTCCGCTGGTTCCTCCGATGATTCCCGATGCTTTCCAGGGACGCCATCAGGACACCATCGGTGATGCTCCGTGGTGCCCAACTGGTTGCCGCCGAATCCGATCCGACCCCAATCGCACACCGAAAGCTGAATTCCCCGTACCGGGGGCCCAGCCACCAGCCCACTTCGAGAATGGTGGCTCTTATGCTAGTTGCACCCTATGTATAAGTATCGCAAGTAACATAGCTACTTACATGAGCTACTTATGGGTACTTACTAAGATACTTATAAGTAACTTAAGTTGATGTTCCTAAGTTACTTAAGCTAACACTATAAGATACTTATAAGTTACTTAGGGAAATGAAGCGATCGCGATCGCTTGGGAGGAGGAGGAGGAGGAGGAGGAGGAGGAGGAGAGCGATGTCGATCGCTGTGAGGGGGGGGGAGGGGGGGAGGAGAGTGATGAGCGCGGCGGGGCGCGCGGCCTCCTCACCGCGCGCGGCCGCGTCCTCAGTGTACGCGCGGCCTCCTCACCGCGCAGGGGGCTCACCCTCAGGGGCCGCCTCGCCGCCCTGCCCGTCGCGGAAGGCGGCCAAGCAGATCGCCTCCGCCTCGCTCAACGCCTGCAGCTCGGCCTGCTGTTGGAGCCGCCTGAGGACGCTGGGGTCGTTCCACCCATCCCCGCCCAGGGACACGAGCAGCTCCACCAGCTCATCCTCGGTGGGAGGGCGCACGGTGGCGCTTTCGAACTCCCACGAACGCTGGACCTCCATGGCCTGCTCTCTCTCGGCCGACGCCATCTGCGAGCGCTCCCGTCGTCGCTGCTCTCATCGTTCGATCCGCCAGGAGTCACTGGAGGCGGCTGTCCGCCGTACGACCCGTCACCGTCCCCCATGGAGTCCTCGTCCGAGGTCTCGAGGCCAAAACTGTCCGAGTCATCGCTGCCACTTTGCAACTGCTCCGAGCCCTCGGTGCTGTCGGAGTCCTCGGCATCATCGACATCAGCGGTGCTGTCGGGGTCCTCGGCGCTCTCCTCCTCGCCCTCCTCGGCGCTGTCGTCGGCGATCTCGGCCCCCGCTTGCGCGGATGCGGGCGTCTTTCTGGTGCAGGGCTCCTTGTCGTCTGAGCCTGAATTCTCGAGCCCGTCTTCGGCCTCGGCGGCGCGCGATGCCCCATACTCATCCTCACGCCGCGCGATGTTGGCCTCCCACTTCTCGATCTCGTGGATGTCCACCTTGTAGCACAACCCCATCACGGCATGGTTCAACGTGTCAGTGCACGTCTTCTTGATCCTTCTCCACGGGAAGCCTTGCCTCTTGTACCATCTCAGCGGGTAGTAGCCGCCTCTCTTGCCCGCCCGCGCCCCTTTCTCGTGGATCGCCTTCAAGGTCGCCTGGGCCATGGCCTTGACGCTTGGTTGGCCGCTGCAGGCGCGGATCTTCTTCCAGAACTCGACCCTCTCCTCAATGCTGAAGTCCTTCAGCTTCGAGGCCATCTCCTTCCACTCGGGCGCCCGATTCGCTTGCACCCCCCGCGTGCTGCACAACGCGCACTTGTAGATCTGGCCCTTCTTCGTCATCCGCACTGGGTAGGCCTTCATGACGTCGCACGGCTGGTCGCACCTGTCGCAGAGGAACTCGTTCTCGGCGGCGTCGAGCGAGAGCGGTGCTGCGCGCTTGTCAGGCGAGCTGAGCGCCGCGAGCGATCCGACTCGAAACTTCGGCGAGGCGCCTGCCGTCGGCTCCTCGCCCATGCCCGCCGACGCCTGGGACTCGGTGTCCGAGGTGCACCTTCGCGGACGAGACGGCGGCGACGACAACTCTTGCACCGTCGCCTTCATCTTCGCCTTCGCCTTCGCCTTCGCCTTGCCCACCTGCAGCGCCCCATCGCCGTCCTTCGGCGAGGGCGCACTCTCGCCGAGCCTCAGGGTGGGCGCACCACCGCTCGCCTTCGCCCTCGAAGTGGGCTGCGTCCACTTCGCGATGTCAGCGAACTTGGGCGGCGCCTTCTTGGCTGCGGCCACTGCCATTGCTTTCTCCTTTGCCACGGCCTTGGCGTTCACCTTGGCCTTGGCCTTGGGCGGCGGGCCCTTCGGGCCTGCGTACTTCGCCCTGACCTTCTTCGGCTTGCGCCTGCGTCTGGCGGCGGCTGGCCTCCTCATCGGCCCCCGCTCGGCCGCGCCCTCGCTTCCCTCAGCATCCACCTCATCTTCCTTGGGCGCCTCCGCCTCCGCGGCTCCGCCCCCCTCGGTCGCCCCCTCGCCTTCCTCAGCCGCCACCTCCTCTTTCTCGGGCGCATCCGCCTCCGCGGCTCCGCCCCCCGCGGCCGTCGCGCCCTCGAGACCGAGATCCCCCGCGAGAGTGTCCATCAGCTCGGCGTCCTCGGGGGCGCTTGCGCCCGCGGCGCCTGCCAACTGCAACGTCGCCTGGCTGTCCTCGCTCGCCGCCGCCTCATCGACCGCGCTGGCCAGCGCGCCGCCGCATCCCGCGGCCATCGCTCGCAACGCCCCGCGACCGTTGGCGGTGCGCTCTCACCGATAGTCGAGCGACTTCGGTCGCTGGCTTTTGAGCCGCGCATGTTGCGTAGTGCCGTTATCAGGTAAGCTACGCGCGCCAGCGATCAGCATCGCTCGGGGAGGCAGCGATGAGCATCGCTCGATGTCGATACTTACTCGAATAAGTGGCATAACTATCGTAAGAGGCAACCAATGTTATCCTTTTGTTATCATTGTGTTATCCTTTGTTATCCTTTGTTATCCTGATCCCTGGGCCAGTTAGGATAACATGTTATCCTATCTGACCCATGTTATCCTATATGACCCAGTCAGTTAGGATAACAAAAGGATAACACTGGGTCAGTTAGGATAACAGGTTATCCTATCTGACCCAGTGTTATCCTTTTGTTATCCTTTTGTTATCCTATCTGACCCAGTGACCAGGATAACAAAGGATAACAACGGATAACAAAAGGATAACAAAAGGATAACATTGGTTGTAACTTGCGATAGTTACGGTAGTTACCAGGGTAACTACCTCCCCACGCGATCACCATCGATGCCTCTCCTGCTCATTATCCTCATTCTTCCCTCAAGCGATCGGCATCGCTACCTTCCCCAAGCGATCACCATCGCTTCCCCTCCCTCTCATCATCCTCATTCTTCCCCAAGCGATCGACATCGCTACCTCCCCCAAGCGATCGCAATCGCTCCCCCTGTTCCTCATTCCCCCCAGCGATCGGCATCGCGATCCACCTTCCCCCACCCCACCCCACCCCCGCTACCCCCCACCCCCCAGCGATCGACATCGCTATCCTCCTCATCCTCCCTCTACTTCTCCTCGTCCTCCTCCCCCCAGCGATCGGCATTGCTATCCCCCCTCACCCCCAGCGATCGACATCGGTATCCTTCTCCTCCTCCTCCTCCTTCGTCTCCTCCCCCCAGCGATCGACATCGCTATCCCCTCTCCCCCAGCGATCGACATCGCTATCCTCCTCCTCCTTCTTATCCTCCTCCAAGCGATCGACATCGCTACCCCCCACCCCCCACCCAGCGATCGACATCGCTATCATCCTCATTATCCTGCTCCTTCTCCTCATTTCATATTCATAAGCATGCGGCGGCGCGATCCGCGGCCGCGGCCGCAGGCGGCGAACGTCGCAGAGCGCCAGCGACCCGCGACGAAGATGATGTCGGGCTCCAGGGTCGCCTCCCGCATGTCGCTGAGAAGCGCCAGAGCCCGCTGAGCAGCGCCAAAGCCCGCTGCCACTGTTCAGAGGAGGGGCACCGACGCGCCCATCGCCTCGGCGACCTGCTCCCTCGCCGCCCTCAGGGACGCCCCCTCCTGCTCGAACGCCTGGGACGCCTTGAGGCACGTCTCCTTCGCCACCTTGGCGCAGCGCTCCGCCCGCTTCAGGCAGTCCATGAGCGCATCGGCCCGCGCCTTGCTGAGCCTGAACTCGGTCTCGGGGGGCACGTCGGGCAGCGAGACGTCTCCTGTCATGGGCGCCATGATCAGGTTCATCGCCGCGGGCGCCGCGGACGGCGCAGCCTTCCCCGTCAGGCCTGCAGCCGATTGCACCCGCAACTACATATGCTGCTGTAGCTGCTGCTGCTGCTGCTGTATATGCTGCTGCTGCTGCCGCATCTGCTGCTGCTGCTGCTGCAGCTGCTCCGCCGTCTGCTGCAGCTTGTGCGCCGCCGCAGTCGCCGCGCTGACCGCCGCCGCGGGGGCGCGGTCGTCTCCGCGGCCGCGGGGCGGCGTGCGCGGCGCGGGGCGGCCGCGGTGGCTGCGGCGGCTGCGGCTGCGGCTGCGCCTGCGCGCAGGCGATCGCGCGCGGCGATCGCGCCCGCGACTGCTGGCGGCCCCTGCGCTGGCGGCGGCCGCGGCGGCGGCCCCTGCGCTGGCGGCGGGCGCCGTCTTGTAGGGGTTGGCCGCGGTTGCCGCCGCCTTCTCGGCCTGGTGCTTCTTCCACGCCGCCACATCGCTGTCGCTGAGGCGCTCCTCGTTGGCGTCGTCCAGGAGGCGGTTGATCTCCTCTAAGTTGGGCCCGCTCGCCGTCTTGAGAAACTTGTGGCTCTCCGCCGTCGGCGTCGCCAAGTGGTTGAAGAGCCACTCCAAGCACTCCGCGTGGCTCTCCTTGTAGCACTTGGCCTTGCAGTTGCTGACGGGGCAGCCGACCGTGCACCACTCCTCCTCTGTCTTGACGGGGCAGGCTGCCGCGACGTCGGACGACATGGTCGGTGCTGGCGACGGAGCTGGCGTCGG